GTATTTTATTGCTTCCAAAAATATTATATGGTTTGTTGCAAGTCAATCATTTATAAAATTTTCTTGTTTCGGCTATATGTAGGTCTGATTTGTGGTGTCTTCTATTATACCATCCTCACACATTTTTTTTGTTTTGTTAAAATTTTTAGATTTGCATAAAAGGTTCAATCAAATAAAATATTACCGAATTACTCAAATAATCCTAGTATAATGTTTTTGGGATAGAGACCATAGACTCTTAGTATATCTAATAAGAACGGTTTACCCTTATTGATTGATGTGTAATCCAAAAACATGCTAATATCAACATTGAATAAATGAAACGACAACGTTATTCGTAAATAGGCTACATTGTGATTTATTATACGTAAGAGTGTAAAATTTATAAAATGAACTATGTTTGTTGATTTATGGAATGAAATATATTATATATGCACCACATATTTCCTTCAAATTCAAACGACCCTTCGATAGTTTGTTGCAATTAAGGAAAGCTGATACTAGTTTCAGAGCTCTCTTCTTCATTTCTTGGATGCAATTCTTGCATTTCATGACCGTTATCGTGATCCTTGGAAGGAATATATGTATGGCAAAGAGAGGATGATCATGGCCAAGCCACAAAACTGCGATGAAGGTTAATATGAGACCAAATGCAGCAATAGCAAACATAAGCATCCCATCTTGGAAAAAGAGAAATAGAATAACCAAATACTGGGCAGGCGAGCTGCATCATTATTTTAATCGGGGGTTGGGGGTTGGGGTGGAAGGTTGGGGGCGGAGGTAGCGTAAATTATTACACCTAAGTTTCAATGATGACAATAATGCAAATCTAATTGTATCTGTTTAATTGCAGAAAATTAGGAGGACAATGCTCCATCAAAGGAAGTCAAACATGTCAAGGACATCAGAAAGAAAACAAGATCAAGTGCAGAAAGGACAATGCTAAATCAAAGGATGTTAAGGCCATCAAAAAGGAAACAAGATCAAGTGCAGTTACTATATGAAGATAGTCCTTACTTCAAGGATCGATTTGGAATCTGGAGATTGTGAAGATTGATATATATCAAACCGCAAATCACTCCCTTGATTATGAATGCGAAAAGAAAGGAAGACAATGAATCCAGCCCCTCTCTTGAGCAGGATTCTAAGGCACCCCTTGGGTCAAATCTCTTAGAATATTTTGTGCCTCAATCAAGGGTCAATCTGCAACGGCTACTCAAGACTCCCGTATAAGAAGATTGGCAGACTCAAGAATTCAACTACACAACTTACCATTATTTTTTATGCCTTTCTAGTTCTCAGCACAAACACTGTATTCCTGAGTTTACTAGTGTCTCAAAAGAGAGGAAGTGTTAGGAAACAAAATAAGAATTGTGTCAAGTTTGTAAAACATCGTTGCTGAAAATCGTTAGTGGTAAACAATCCAAAAACCACTACTACTGTAACAAACTATTGAAGATCTAAGAGAACCCTTGTGACCTAAGGGAACTGGATGTAGGTACCACACCGGTACTGAACCAGTATAAAATTCATGTGTTCTCAGCTTTTAAATTTCTTGCAATTTATTTTCATCGTCAATCAAACTTGTTGATAAAGTAAAGTCGACTAATTCTCTTCTGAGTCGACTAAGTTTTTAATTTAGTTATAATTCACTCCCCCCCCCCCCCCCCCTTTGTACTTTCAATTGGTATCAGAGTAAGGACTCACAATATTGTGTAATAGCAAGTGAGAAAAAGATCATGACGTCAAACACAGTTGTTGGAGCTTTGTTTCAAGAAGGGACTTCTCAAGTAAGACCACCATACTTCAATGGCTAGCACTTTTCACACTGAAAAGTGCGTATGTTAACCTATATAATATCATGGGACATCAAAGTATGGCGTGTGATCAAAAAGGAAAATCTTCGAATTCCTTCGAAGAAGGATAAAGATGGCAAGATCATAATATCACCTGATCCTCTGGACTTCGATGATTACACTGAAGAACAAGCAATTGTTATTCAAGTGAATGCTAAGGCTAAAAATCTTTTATACAATGCCATTAGTGGTGAAGAGTATTAAAAGATATCAAGCTGTGAAACTGCTAAAGAAATATGGGACAAGTTAGAAGTCATATATGAAGCAACCAACAAAGTGAAGTAGACAAGAATAAATCTCCTTGTGTGTAACTATGAACTATTTCAAATGAAAGACGGAGAATCTGTTGAAGAAATGTTTTCTCGACTCAGCAAAATTCTTGGAGACTTGAAATCCTTTGGTAGACCAATCAGAAGCGGAGAACGGTTCAGAAAAATCCTAAGAAGTCTACCCACTATTTGGCAACCCAAAGTTATTGCTCTTGAATGTTAGGATCTCGACAAGATGTCATATGATGAACTCAGAGGTGACCTTATTGCATTTGAAAAAACACACTTAGACAGGAAAGTTCATCAAGAGAAAAGAAACACAGTCGCTTTTAAAGCAACTGTGGCTGAATCAGAAATTGAAGAAGCAAAAGGATGAGGAAGAGGAGGAGGAGGAGGAGGAGGAGAACAAGATGAAAACATTGCTATGATCTAACAAGCATGATGAGGAGGAACATGAACAATAGAAGAGGCAAGCCAAACTTCAGAAAAGGTAAAATGGGAAATGAAAACGACAAAAATGATGGAAGATGCTATGAATGTGGAAAACATGGACACATTCAAGCAGAATGCCCTGAATTTGAAAAAGAAACTCAGCAGAAATCTTCAAAAGAAAGTGTCTTTTGAAGCCTGGAGTGATGAAGAAGAATCTGATCATGAAGAAATTGCCAACATGTGCTTTATGGCTATGAATGACGGCAGTGATGAAGATTCAAGTGAACTTGGTCTTATGGCAGATGAAGGAACCAGTGAAGTACATTCTCCTATGTGCCCCAAATGTAATGAACTTCAAGAATTTATTGATGTTGCTCTTATTGACATTGAGAAGGTCCTAAATGAGCTTCGAAAGATTCAACGAGAAAAGAAAGACTGGGCTCTGAAACTTTAAGTATGTGAAATAGAAAAATACATGCATCAAGAAGAATTTTATGAACTTCAACTTCAACTGAATGGATTGAGAAAATCTACCAGTCAAAATTCTATTAGATCTAATAAGTCAATTTCTCATATCAATTCTTTTAGGGGAAAAACTTACACTGCATGTATTCATTGTGGAAAAAATGGGCATAAATATAACCATTGCAAGTTTAATGATAAGACTTCTGAAAGTCCTATAAATCCATCTTGTTATTATTGTAGAAAATCTGGTCACACCTCTAATCATTGCAGGTTCAAGAAAAATAAAAAATGAGTTTGGCGACCCAAGTCCTCTAACCAGGCTAACAATGAGAACACTAACCATCCAAGACCCAAGAAGGCTTGGGTACCTAAAAACAAGTAATATATTTTTGCAGGAACATCGCAAGAAGAATCGAAAAGAAAAATAGTATCTCGATATCACGTGTTCTGGACACATGACAGGTGACAAAAAATTATTCAAATCTGTCATTAAGCTTGATGGTGGATCTGTCACTTTCAGAGATAAATCAAAAGAAAATGTAATTGGAGTAGGAAGAGTTCCCCTTAGCTCATCATGTGATGTAGATGAGGTCTACTTAGTCGACAAACATGGTTACAACCTGCTCAGCATTAGTCAACTATGCGACAGTGACTATGAGTTTCGTTTCAAAAAATATGGTTGGTTCATCCAAAATGAATCAAGTAAAATTATTCTATCTAGAAGTAGAGATAGAAATGTCTATACTCTTAGCAATATTAACAGTCTAGGGAATCAAATTTGCTTAGCTACAATGATTGATGTTCCCTGGTTATGGAATAGAAAGCTTGGTCATGCTAGCATGCATACTATTAAAAAACTTTCCAAACGTGATCTTATCACTAGCCTTCCAAAACTAGATTTTTCAAAAATTCAAATTTTTGATGCATGTCAATTAGGAAAATAAACTTGTTCATCTTTTAAAATCAAAAATATTGTTTCTACTTCAAAATCTCTTCAACTTTTGCATATGGACCTTTTTGATTCAACTAGAACTACTAGCATTGGTGGTAGAAAATATGCCTTTGTGATTGTAGATAATTTTTCTCGTTTCACCTGGGTTATTTTTTTGAGCCATAAAGATGAAGCTCTAAGAAATTTTGAAGTCTTCTGTAAGAAGGTATAATGTGAAAAGGGATATTACATTTCTGCTATAAGAAGTAACCATGGAGGAGAGTTCGAAAACAGAGCCTTTGAAAACGTTTGTAATGATCAAGGAATTTCTCACAAATTATATTCCCTAAGATCACCTCAACATAATGGAGTGGTAGAACGTAAGAACAGAACCCTGCAGAACATGGCAAGAACCATGATCATGGAAAACTCTCTCCCACACCACTTTTGGGCAGAAGCTGTAAGCACAACATGTCATATCATCAACAGATGCCTGATTCGACCCATTCTTAAAAAGACTCTATATGAGCTATGGAATGGTAAAAAACCCAACATCAGTTATTTTCAACCATTTGGCTGTAAATGCTTCATTCACAATAATGGAAAAAACAATCTGGGTAAGTTTGGTCCAAAAAGCAATAAAGGTATTTTTCTTCGATACTGTTCTTCAAGTAGAGCATATAGAGTATTCAACAAAAGAATATTATGTATTGAGGAATCCATTCATGTAGTTTTTGTGGATACTAACTCTCACTTAAGGAATGAAAAATATCATGAAGATAAGGAAATTTCTATTGTCCCAAAAGTCTGTTGTTACAGGAAAAGACGGTCATGATCAGGCGACCAATCAGCAAAATCAGTCAACTAAGGAGCATGTTGAAATCTAGGATCTATCTTCCGTTGAACAGTCAACTATATTGGAAAAGAAGCCAACTACAGGTGTTCCAAAATGAATGGAAAAGTAAACCTGGATATCCCTAAAAGTTCATCATTGGAAATCCACGAGAAGGTATCACTACCAGAAGATCTCAAAAGCTCAACTCTGACATGGCCTTAATATCACAACTTGAGCTAAAAAAGTTTGATGAAGCCCTCAAAGATGACTACTGGGTCAAAGCCATGAAAGATGAACTTGATCAATTTGAAAGAAATAAAGTGTGGGACTTGGTTCCAAAACTATCCAATGCTACTGTCGTAGGAACAAAATGGATTTTCAGAAATAAGCTGAATGAATCTAGTCAAGTAGTTCATAACAAAGCAAGGTTAGTCGCCCAAGGTTACTCTCAGCAAGAAGGAATTGACTACGATGAAAAATTTGCTCCTGTAGAAAGATTAGAATATATTCGAATTCTACTTGCTTTTGCTGCTCATAAAGGATTTAGGCTATTTCAAATGGATGTAAAAAGCGCCTTCCTAAACCAAGTATTCAAGTTGTCAAACGCTTTATACGGACTCAAAAAAGCCCCCCGAGCCTAGTATGAAAGACTAAGATCTTTTCTTCTAAATCAGAGCTTCAAACGAGGTAATATTGACACAACTTTGTTCATTAAGCATTCAAATTCAAGTAATCTTATTACTCAAATTTACATAGATGATATTATCTTTGGAAGTTCTAACTTTGTATTATGTGAAGAATTTGCTCATTATGAAGGTAGAATTCGAAATAAGCATGATGGGAGAGCTAACTTTCATTCATATATTACAAATCAAGCAATCTTCCAAAAAAATCTTTATTAGCCAAACCACGTCACGACCCAAATTTTGTTAAAGGTCGTGATGGCGCCTAACACCACCGTCAGGCAAGCCAACAAGGATTTATCAATTAATTTATTCATTTAAGTGTTTGAAATCATAATTTTCCTTAATTAAATCGTATGAAATATAGATTTCACAATTTCAATAATGAACAACCCGTAGAAATCCCCAAAATGCGGTGTCACAAGTGCATGAGCATTTTTCTAAGGAGTGCAATAATAGTACAACATCCATCCCGAATATAATAAGACAGAATAAGATAAATAGTACAATGGAGACTCAGTGGACTGCGATGTGTAGCTTGAGATACAGCTCACATGAAGTCTCCTCAACAAGTGCGCCTACGCGCCAAGGTGATCATCAATGAACCTGCCAGATCCTACACATTTAGTGCAGAAGTGCAGCATGAGTACGTAAATCAACGTGTACCCAGTAAGTATCTAGCCTAACCCCATAAAAGTAGTGACGAGGGGTCGACATCGACACTTACTAGATGTCCAAGCAAATAATATAATAATCTATAATGGGTATAAAGTGCACAACAATAGTGAAGTAAATCTTTAAATCTAAAAAGTTTCCAATTATTTTCTTTAAAGTATGAATTTCTCAATCTTGTATTCTATCTTAATATCTCTGAAAGTTGTCAAGTTTCATCATCAAATAAACCCGGAGTACCATATAAAATGTTGGGAATCAATAGAGAGGTTAACTCGTGAATATTCGAGCTACAAGCGATATAACGCACGATTATGTCGAGGGACGTTTGGCCCAATCCAGAATAATGTGTACACTACCGAGGGTCTAGCGGCACGATCCATAGATGCATCTATATACTGCCGAGGCTTTCAGCCCGCTCCACAAGAAAAGAAAGAAAGTTACCGAATTACGAGACACGTGTTTACAATACCGTACATAAGTACAAAAATGGATATAATCTTTACCGTTTCTCAAATAACTTGCCCACAACTCAAAGTGTTAAGACTTGGCCTAGTATTCGCATTATTATTTCTAAATCAATTTCATTTATAACTTCGATTAATTAATGTCAGCAACATAAGCTCAAATAATTCAAATATTACAGGATAAGGTCATAGGTCTACCCGGATATGAACATGTTATAGCTACGTACAGACTCTCGTCACCTCGTACATACGTAGTACCCACAACTAGTTGTACAAAATAATAATTATCACCTAGGGGTAGTTTCCCCCTCACAAAGTTAGACATGAGACTTACCTTTCTCTGAAGTTTCATAACCGGCTCCAAGGCCTCTCTAACACCTCAAACCAAAGCTCGTCGCTCCAAAACTATTCAAACAACGTGTAAGCCAGTCAAAATATATTCTAATATCCATAATTAATCATTTTAAACAATTTCTCAACTCTGCTCGAAAAGTCTATAAAATCAACCCTCGGGCCCATGTGCCCGAATTCCGAAATTGTTTGAAGATAAACTTTACCCATAACACCACGAACTAAAATATATAACTTATTCCCAATTCCATGTTCAAATTCGTGGTCAAATTTCAAAAATGCCAATTTCTAGGTTTCTTACCAAAATCCCAAATTTTCACCAAATATTTCCCCCCTTAAATCTACATATAAAACTTACATTTAGCTCACAACAAGTGAAAAATTACTTACCTTGTGTTACATAAATAAAATCCTCAAAATCGCCCAAGAACCGAGCTCCACAAATCCCAAACGAAAATGATGAAATGGCCAAGTTCGATCCCTTATGTTCTGCCCAGTTTTCTCTTATGCGGACAACATTTTTTACATCTGCGGCCACGCTTTTGTGAGTAAAAACTCGCGTCTGAGGACGTCCCTCACCCAGGAAATCTCCACTTCTGCGTGCCAAAAATATGCTTCTGGGCACAAACAACTGCTTCTGCGGCCTCCCCCCTCAGCCCAGTTCCCACTTCTGCGCTCCTCCGCCTGCATCTGCGAGCCCACAGGTGCGGAACTTTCCTCGCACCTGCGAATCCATCCGCCCTCACTCCATTCCGCATCTGCGACCCCTGGGCCACTTCTGTGATCTCGCACCTGCGGCCCTTTTCTCACAGGTGTGATTGCACCAGACACCAGCTGCCTCAGCTTTCCCCCAAGCCCATACTCGATCTGTTAATCCTCCAGAATCCACCCGAGGCCCTTGAGACCTTAACCAACTATACCAATCAGTTCCAACACATCATACAAACTTAGTCGAGCCTTTAAATCATATCAAAAAAAGCTAAAAACAGAAATCGCGTGTCGATTTAAGCATAATGAACTTTAAACTTCATACTTCTACATCTGACGCCAAAACCTATCAAATCAAGTCCGATTGACCTCAAATTTTGCACACAAGTCATAATTGACATTACGAACCTACTCCCACTTCTGGAATCGGAATCCGACCCCGATATCAAAAAGTCCACTCCCGATCAAACTTCTCAAAATCATCCAAATTTCCAACTTTTGCCAATTGACGCCGAAATGACCTACGGACCTCCAAATCTTAAGACCAAAATCATCATAAGAACCTGTTGGAACCCTCAAATCCCGATTCCGAGGTCGTTTACTCAAAAGTCACATCTTAGTCAATTCTTCTAACTTAAAACTTCTGAAATTATAATTTTCTTTCCAAATTAACTCCGAACTTCCCAAAATTCAATTCCGGCCACATGTACAAGTCAATATACCTGAAGTGAAGCTACTCAAGGCCTCAAACCGTTGAACGACATGCTAGAACTCAAAACGACCTGTCGGGTCGTTACATTCTCCCCCACTTAAACATACATTCGTCCTCAAACGTGCTAAGGACTGCTCCGGAGTTGTCCAAAATCATTGTTTAAAACCTCGTGCACCTATCTGTGACAGCATAACCCAGTTTGGCACCTCAGCTGGAGCCGGACTGAAGCCCTTTTATTTAATCAATAAGCCTTAGAACCAAATTCCAACCTCTGAATCTCTTTACAATACCTGATTCTAACATACGAACACGGTATCAATCTCCACATACTGAATCCACACATGATCATGCACCCATGTTGATATCACACAACACATCGCATAACTCATTTGCCCAAGGCAACATCCTCCGACCATAATAGTTGAAATTTCACGAACCTGATTCTTGAAATACACCTCATAATACAAATAAGCCATGTTTCAATCCTCATAATACTACCATGACAGAGAAGATGTGTAGAAATTCATAACCATCTGCTGAATCAATCAAATCATGGAGTCGCTTCTCCTGACAAGGACCATAGCCTCATCCTAAACCGAATAGTCTACACAGGTAATAAGCTACCTCAAACACTGACCAAGATCTCGTATGATGCCAAAAATGCACCAATACGCTATTAACTCGAATGCGATATATAAAGAAAACAAACCTTGGAATGGAGCTTCCCAGCCCGCGTAACGAATAAAATGGACGAACAGACGCTATGAACTCTCCTCAGAGAATGAGAAACGAAAATACACAGAAAAAAATATATGTAATCATACTCAACATCTCACTGTTGCGACATGTAATCCTATCCAACATGACACTGTTGCGGCACGAACCCGATCCAAACAGTATATCTGTGGCGGCGTGCCACCCGATCCACACATGACAATCAAGAAGAAAACACACACATCAAGCTGTAACGCTTATACTTACGAAATGCCTGAATATTGACCACAAGCACGCCGAGTGCAAAAATACAACTCTGGGGAGATGAATAGCGCCACATGCTACGAAACTCAAGCACAACTCACATGCGATAAATGACTTGCATCTCGAGAGCCATCCTGCTCATATAACATTACAAGCTACATGGGACCTCACACCGATTCTGATCATACCATGCTTGGCTAATAACCTTTCAAGGATCCACAATGGCCATATTCATGACACACACGAGTAGCTGTCCCAATCCGGAACAAACTCCCACATTAATGATAGTACCCCAAAATCTCCATACTTGGTTTCAATCTATAACAATCAAGTGACTAGAATGTCACACTCATATAATTTCCCCGTGGGTTACGCTCCCACGACGTTCCGCTTAGGTAGCCGAGTCGGCACATCTATACCGCCAACTGTACTAATTCTGTAAAGCAAATCACAATCCACAATTGAATACACAATGCCTCTTCCACAGAACACCATTCTCAGGCGACACTAAGTTAACGCCAACTCACTCTAAACATCTGAATACTTTCCTGCTCGTTCGAGCTCGTGAAATTCTTATCAACACCGAACCGTAACCTTGATCCTCAACTTTCAATTTCTCATGTCTCTCACTGCACCCATCATGCCACTATGCAAGAATATACGAATTCATCATAACCCCTGAACTACCAGTAGAATAACACTTCATCGGCTAGAAACCTTTCACTTAACTCATTTCTGAAAAACCAATGCAATATGCAAATGAATTCCCAAACCGTAGAAAAATACAAGCCTCAAGTTGTAATCTAAACCGTCATGATTCTTCCGGAATCCGTTTACAAAACAAAGCCATTTGAATCAACTACCTCCCAAATTAATCAGGTCATAGTGGTTGTCAAGCCCGCATACAACCATAAACCATATGTATAACTTCACACAATGAAGGAACTGATCCTTGTCACAATCATGTTGATTCAACCATTTCTAACCGACCCAACTTCTTTCAATTTACTCTTGATCTGACTTAGAAATACAATAGCTCCATTCACAACATAACAAACTCCGTCTGCACT